TGGTTAAACTGTGATATAAAAAACGGAAAGTGATTCAGAGCACAACATGCACAACAGCTCGAGATGTTTCTCTCCTCTTCTCCACCCAGCTGAGTGAGCAGCAGTCAGTCAGCGGCAGTGGAGACGCTGATGGATGGTAGCCCTGCCCTCTCCCTGCCGACGCACCTTATACAGGACAGGCTTGAGCGGGAGGACACCGGTGCGCTGCGCCCTGACAACCTCGTTGCCCCCTACTTGAGTACAGGTGGATCTGACACCGGGACGCGTCAACAACCCCGCACTTCGACTTCTTCTCCATCCCATGAAGACGGGTCACTTTTTCTCTGTTATCGTTTTCACCCTGCTACTCAGTTACTCATCACAGTCCCAATGGATATCTACAGCTCCGCGTTATCCCCAGCGCTGGACATCTGCACAGGTTGCTATCTGCTGGTTGTAGGTAAGGTTCAAATACGCAAATACGCGCGTAAGCTTGATATAATAAACTGCTGTGGCGCACAGAGGCTTCGCATCCCTTATTGGCTCAATTTACTCAGGAATAATGGAAACAGATATATGGTGCACTTCTCTTTTATGCATTAAGACCTGCTGAGAAAAGTCTGCTTCTCTAGTCATCTAAAACTTTGACTTGGAATTGTTTGTCAAGTGTTTTCATTGCGACAGGAGAGCTATGTTTCTTGAATCTACATAAACTCATCCCTTTGAGTAGCTCATTTGTGTTTGGAAATCACTGTGTGTGTTAGAGTTAGTCATGCCAGGCTGATGATTAAGGTTGGACTGCAGAGGATAAGTGTAAATCAGTCAATCAATTTCCTCCAAAGGGCCAGAATCTAATGAGTTGGCATATAACACATACTGGCTTTATGCAGTGTCCAATGTGTGGTAACTGAGTTAAGCGAAATTAAAAGATACATTAGGAGCCTTTATGTGGTCTGTTAACAAGAAAAACTAATAAGCAATTAGTCTGGTGGATTTTATACACACAGGGCACATTCATTCATTACGGTTAAAAAAATTTCACAGCAGGCTGAAACACCCTGCTGTGAACTTTTTTTTATCTGTGTTCAAGTATGTTTCTCACATCCATTGCAATGTTATATATCTGACATTAAAGCCAGCCTTAATCTTGTGCAGCTCTTAGCTACATAGAATGATTTGTGCAGTTAGCAACTGGTCACATCCTCCCTCCACAGGAGTGCTCTCATCTCACACAGCTACTGAGATCTACTACTAGTAGTGACCAGCTATAGGATGACTGGCAGACACTGCAGTCGTCCTCCTTCTATTTCACACAGGATATTTTTCTGGAACTTCATAAGTCATGTGATGTACAAATCATAAGGTAGTATAATCTACTCAACAACCAAAGACAGATAGATTTACAATAATCTAATGTAATAATGAAAGATGGATGATAGTGGATTTGGTCAAGCAGATGGCGTAAACAGGCCAAAAAGCAAGCTGCTGACCCTGGTGCAGGATCTATCATGTGATAACACTTCCACATAGTTAGGTTGATTTGTTTCTTCTTATTAGTGGTGGGGATTCTGGGTATTTTTTTAATGATCCAGATCATTTGGTTCAGCTCAGCAATAAGAGCCAGCTCTTTCAGTTCCCAAACCACCCTGCATTTAGCTCCACTTCTGGCCAGGGGCAAATCTAGAAGGGCAGGGGGTGACAGCTGTCAGCACTAAAAAATTCCTCAGTTTGTTGCCAAATTCTGTCAGATTTAACACATGAATTAATTTGATTCATTTTAAAGATAACGTGTTGAAGAACGGATATTAATTTAATGATCTGTTATGGCCACATTTTAGTGATTAAGTGATTAGTATATGTAGTATTTCTGAAGTATTGGAAATAAAACAATTTATTGATTCCTGATGCCACCTTTAGGTATTTATATTTAGTACTATACTAGTATACCACTGTAACGTAATGTTTTGAGGTAAAATACCTTAATTTGGGGGCTTTTCCAAGCCTGCTTCTGTCTTATAATGCAGTCAGATTTAGCAATGTTTTGACCTATGATTGGTATTTGTACCTTACAATTTCCAGAATACCATAATTTTACATAATGCTTAGTATAAAAGCCTTAAATAATGTAAAAACATCGAATTACACATGTGTCGGGAACATTTTATTTATATTGCAACATGTGTTTTTATGTTGGGGACCAGCGCAATGTACAAAGGTCTCATCATGCTTGGGTCTTACTGATATTAGTAAAGAGACATTTCTGCATTGTATTTGTAGCATCATCTTATTATTCTGTCTTGTATTCATTTATTTAAAAAAAGACAGAAAAATGAAAAAATTTGGTGTTTGATGATCTGTGGTGGTATATAGCATACTGTATATACAACACTGTAAGTGTGAGAGAGGGTGTTAGGGGAAAGATAATAAATACTGCAAGCAAAACATCTATAAAAAAGGGAAAAGGAGTGAATTCTAGATAAATCTTGCTGTTTTATTCCTGTGTAAATGTGGTGAAATCCAAATGTTGTTATATTCTCAATATTTCATAGTACTGACGAATACTGAAGCATACATTACATTATTTCTCACTTTGTTGGGGCTTTTCCAGTGAGTGTCTTTCTATTATGCTGCGATTTTACATGCCTCATCTCACTGCAATTCTCTGCTACTGACACAGGATGCATGTACAACACTTGCTCTCTCATTAGCACATGAATAAAGTGGGATGTCAGTGCTGACGTGACTGCTCTGATTCAGGTCATTAAGAGGAGGCAAACCTCTTCTCAGATGCTTTGCACCAATTACACAAAAGTGAGACTGAATGATGGAACTAATAGTCCCAACACAGAGTCACAAATATGAGCATCAGTAAATGATTGAATAAGCAAGAATTTCATTCAAAAGGAGACATTTTGCGGGATTGTCCGAAAATGACTTATGTGGTGAGGGGGAGTTGAACCTAATTTTTCACTTTGAAAAAGCAAGGCCCTCCTTGGGGTAATTAATGTTTTCTTTGAACCTCTTGATCTCTTGACTTTGAACTACAACACCCGCTCCACTGCATGTCAAAATGATATAACATATATAACATAACAGTGTTAAATTAGTGTACCCCAATACAAACCATAATATCTTAATGAAACGTCTAATGTGTGCCGCCAAAGTACAAATCCATATAACCATAATATACATAAAATAACTATTTATGTAATTATTAATTGTTGAGGAAGGCTGAAATAAAAAACACATTTTCCTCTCCCCAAAAAAATCAGGCTACCTCACATTCAGGCAAAAGAAAAAAAGCCATACCCTCCGCCTTTTCTGATGCTTCTACGCCCTATACGGCCTGCCTTTTGAATTGAATTCATGTTAAGACGAGGTGGCCTCCTAAAAAAATAAAATAATGGATAAATACATAAATATATAACACATGCATGACATTTCCTTAGTCAGTAAAAGTGCAAAAAGGCAATACGGTTTTTAAACATGAATGCACACTGCTCTCCTTATACGTCATTCAATACGGCTTGGCTATTCAGAAACAAAATGAGCTACGAGATGAATTGTCTTTCCAACAGATTTTAAGATCAAAATATTTAGATTTATCGCTTTAAAACATGAATATATTTGTATAGATTCATTTTAATGTTAGAGAATCTATCTATCTATCTATC